CCCCCTTCAGAGGCCAAAATGGCAAAGAGCGAAATTCAGGAGGAATAGTTGTGTGCGTAGACGTCATAAAAAACTGGATTCTTTTCTATCTATTAATTAGATTAGGCCTCACATATTTACATATAAAGTTAACATAGACCATATCCCTTACAGTGAGGCAAAACCCTAGCATGATCCGTAGAACTATCAGACAAACAGACGAGACACACACTAGTAGACGAAAAAATCGAGCCTCTGAGAAAAAAGGAGATGGGGTAAGAATTTCAGCTGGTGTAAAAATAGTTCATGATGACCGACTTCTGTGGCCTGTAAATGTTTGTAAAACAGCAACTGAACCGGTATTTATTAACACTTGAGTTTGTAAAAACTCTGGGACCTTCAGTGAGAATACATATCATTAAATAATAATAACAACTATAATAATCATGATAATAAAAAGTCTTGCTGTATCTCTTAATGAGCATAATACATGTCAATGATTTATATTATTGTGTATTTACTGAAATTTTGTTTTGAATACAAACGAAATGATCAGAAAGAAGAAGAGGGACCATTGGAGCATTATAAAAAGAGAGTGGTGGGATTTGGGAAATGAGACATGTCATGATTTCTGCAAGAATAGGGCCTAGCCTACTTCCATAGTCATATATTGTACATATTCATACTTCAGTGCAAGAAGTTTTTCAGCTGTTTTTTTTTTTTAAATAATTTTTTCATCTTGACTTTCTCTTTCCTGGATCGATAACAACAACTTTCTCTTTCCTGGATCGATAACAAAATCTTTCTCTTTCCTGGATCGATAACAACAACTTTCTCTGTCCTGGATCAATAACAATAACTTTCTCTTTCCTGGATCAATAACAATAACTTTCTCTTTTTTGGATCAATAACAATAACTTTCTCTTTCCTGGATCAGTATCAATAACTTTCTCTTTCCTGGATCAGTAACAATAACTTTCTCTTTCCTGGATCGATAGCAACAACTTTCTCTTTCAAGTCCAGAAGTTTACTGTGACCTCACTGAAAAGACTGATAAAAATTATGTATAAAAAGAAGAGGAGAGCTGCTGCTGTAAAGGGGTAGTTGAGAAGATCACACAGAGGGGGGAACTGGGTTCTCCATGTCTCAATCCGAAGTTGCGAAATATTGAAACAAAAGAGGGAATAAAACAGGATGGTTTGAAACACACGAAATGGGATGACACACAAGATAGAATGGAATCTTCCTCTCCGAAGAAATGATGGGAAAGAAAGAAAAAAAGAAAGAATTATCCAAATAATACCGATAGTGAAAGCACCCAGTGGTTCTGAAGCGGTTGTGGGAGATGAGGGACCTATCAGTGATCAGCGGGGAGGGGGATGAGAGGGGGAGGGAGGTCTGGGGGGAGACTCATGAGGGAGAGGGAGGTGTTGGGAACACTTAGGGGGATGGGGGTGTTGGGGACAGCTGAAATAAGGGCAGGAGGAACACACATCTAGTTCAAATAAGAAACATTTTATAATTATTCAATTGTCATGTAGTCTATGAAAATCTGTGAAACTGAGGAGGCAACAGTGCTGTATGGCGCAAAAACACTTCCTGATTCATACGCCATTTCATTCAAACAAAATACATTAATTTTTATAGTGGCAATACTACATCTCATGCTGGTTATTAAAAGTTGTCTTTTTGGGGGGTTTTGTTTTTAAGAGTTGGGCATTTTTAAACCCATGTCCGCTGTTTTGTGACGTCAAAACGAGCAGATTACCAAATAAATAATGATACAACGAAGTGGACAGGTTTGGTTCTTCACTTTCACCAGCACATCAAGTGAACACACTCGGTGAACTCAAGTCACGTCCAAAACAAGGTCAAACACAATTTTTACGTAGAACGACCATGTGATGGTAGGCCTACCAGGAAATAAAATAGCCAGGTCATATGAAATTTCATAGCCCTGCTCGAATAAAAAACCCAAAGATAAACACAAAACAGTTCACGTTTAACTCTTCCCCACTTTTCTAAGACATTCAAACTAACAGTAACAATTTTTTTACAAAGAAAGAAAATTAAACTAAGATTTTTTCCTTAAAGACCTCTAAAAACCTACGGTAAAGACAAAATTTACCCAACCATCTTTCATTATCTTCTCTCTTTCCTCCCCCCCCCCTCTCCTTAACGCAAAACTTCTATTCTGGTCAATAGGACCTTCCTCATTCATACAGATGGACACACACAACATGTCTATACGACTGTTAGGTATCATCATCTTCATCATCATCATCATCATCATCATCGTCATCATCATTATCATCATATCAGATGATGATGCCAAAGGGAAAAAAAAAAAGAAAACCACAAAAAGAAACACCATAACAAAACATCCACCAATTTCCCAAAGGGATAAAATGAAATAAGAACAAAAGAAACTGGAAGTTTCAAAAAAGTGTATTCCACGTAAAATGTTCCTTTAAAACACCAAAGTAATAAATTATTTAAAAAAAACAGAAACAAGATTTACAACCGCAAAGTTACAAGCTAGAATTAAAAAGCTTCACGAGAAACACAACAACGAAAGAAAAAATAAGAGAGAAAAAATGCAAAAGAAAAGGAATTAAATTGGAAGAAAAGAAAGGAAAAAAGAAAGACTGCTGTTAGAGAAAGACTGTTGTTGGTTAAGTTTTTCACTAAGCACAATGACTGTCATAAGAAAAAAAAAGTTTCCACATCTAGATCTACATCCACACACTGACCAAACATGACAAAGCTGTACACAATCTTCTTCAAATAAATGAAAAATTATTTTGAATGGGTTACCCCCCCCCCCCC